ATGTGACTTAGAAAATAAGGTACAAAAAAACACTCCATCAGAGCAGCAAAAAGAAAAAACACTTAAAAAGCATGAGGACAGTCTGCTTCATTTGGGACAATATGAAGCAAAACAACATTCACATAAGGAGTGCCAGAGGGGGCGGAAAGAGAGCAAGGGATAGAGAACTTGGTGGAGGAAAAAATGACAGAAAACTTCCCTAGGCTGATGAGGGAGAAAGTCACACAAGTTCAGGAAGCACAGAGGGTTCCAAACAAGAGAGACCCAAAGTGACCCACTCCAAGACACATCATAATTAAAATGGCAAATGTCAAGGACAAAAAGAGAATATTAAGAGCTGTAAGAGAGAGACAAGCAGTGACCTACAAGGTAACCCCCCATCAGGCTGACATCGGATCTCTCAAAAGAAACTCTTTAGGCCAGAAGGGAGTGGCATAAAGTTCTCATAGTAATGAAAAGTAAGAACATGCAACCAAGATTGCTTTATCCAACAAGGCTATCATTTAAAATTGAAGGTGAAATAAAGAGCTTCTCAGACAAAAAAAGGCTAAAGGAGTTCAGTACCACCAAACCAGCATTGCAAGAAATGCTAAAAGGACTGGCCTAAAAAAAAGAAGAAATAGTGAGGGAAAGGTACATCAGCATAAAGGGGAAAAATGGCACTAAATAAGTTTATATTAATAGTAACCTTAAATGCAAACAGAATAAATGGTCCAATTAAAAGACAAGGAGTAGATGAATGGATAAGAAAACAGGACCCAAACATATGCTGTCCACAAGAGACCCACCTGAGAGCAAAAGATTCATACAGGTTAAAAGTAAAAGGAAGGAAAAAAATATTCCATGCAAATGGAAAGGAAAAAAAGCTGGGTAGCATTACTTATTTCTGACGAAAAAGACTTCAAAATAAAGACCATAACAAGAGACAAAGGTGGTCACTACATATTACTAAAGGGATCAATCCAACAGGAGAAAATAACCCTTATAAATGTTTATGCACCCTNTAAAGACCATAACAAGAGACAAAGGTGGTCACTACATATTACTAAAGGGATCAATCCAACAGGAGAAAATAACCCTTATAAACGTTTATGCACCCAATATAGAAGCACCTAAATATATAAAAAATTTCTTGGGGGACTTTAAAGGGGAGATTGACAGCAACACAATCATTGTGAGAGACTTTAACATCCCACTGTCAGCACTGGACAGATCATCAAGACAAAAATTCAACAGGGAAACACAGACCTTAAATGGCTCACTAGATCTAATGGATTTAATTGACATTTACAGAACATTTCATCCCAAAGCAGCAGAATACATATTCTTCTCAAGTGCACATGGAACATTCTCAAAAATAGACCACATGTTAGGGCACGAGGCAAGTCTCTCCAAATTCAAGAAGACTGAAATCACATCAAGCATCTTCTCGGATTACAATGCCATGAAACTAGAAATCAACTGCTAAATATATTCAAACACATGGAGGCTAAATAGCACTGTATTAAACAATGAATGGGTTACCAATGAGATCAAGGAAGAAATCAAACACTCTTTGGAAAAAAACGAAAATGAACAGACGACAAACCAAAATCTATAGGACACAGTGAAAGCAGTCCTAAGAGAAAAGTTTATAGCAGTACAGGCCTATCTCAAGAACTAAGAAAAACCTCTAAGAAACCACCTAATACAATAACTAAAAGAACTAGAACAAGAGTAGCAAGAAAAACCCCAAGGAAGTAGAAGGAAGGAAATAGTAAAGGTCAGAGAAAAAATTAATGACATAGAGACTTAAACAATACAAAAAATCAATGAAACCAATGAAAAATCAATGAAGCTGGTTCTTTGAAAGATAAATAAGATTGATGCACCTTTAGCCAGACTCACCAAGAAACAAAGAGAGAGGACCCAAATAAATAAAATCAGAAATGAAAGAGGTGATATAACAACAGACTCAACAGAAATACAAAGGATCATAAGAAAATTCTATGAGCAACTATATACAACAAACTAGACAACCTGGGTGAAATGGACAAATTCCTAGAAGCATACAACTTTCCAAAGCTGAATCAAGAAGAGGCAGAAAACCCAAACAGGCCAATAACAATTAATGACATTGAAGCAGTAACCAAAAAACTCCCAGCAAATAAAAGTCCTGGACCAGATGGATTTATAGGAGAGTTTTATCAAACATTCAAAGAAAAATTAACATCTATTGTACTCAAACTGTTGCAGAAAATTCAAGATGAGGGAAAACTCCCAAACTCTTTTTATGAGGTCAGCATCATCCTAATCCCAAAACCAGATAAAGACACTACAAAGAAAGAAATTACAGGCCAATATCCCTGATGAAAATAGATGCTGAAATCCTCAACAAAATATTAGCAAGCTGGATTCAGCAATACATTACAAAGATTCTATACCATGACCAAGTGGGATTTATTCCAGGGATGCAAGGCTGGTATAACATCTGCAAATCAATAAATGTGATACATCACATAAACAAAAAGGANGACAAAAATCATATGATCATATCAATAGATGCAGAAAAAGCATTCAACAAAATCCAGCACCCATTTTTTATAAAAACTCTCTGCAAAGTGGGAATAGAGGGATCATACCTGTACATAATAAAGGCACAAACCTACAACTAACATCATATTCAATGGTCAAAAACTAAAACCATCTCTCTTAAAAACAGGAACAAGACAGGGATGTCCACTTTCACCACTCTTATTCAACATAGTACTGGAAGTCCTTGTGACAGTCATAAGACAGGAAGAACACATAAAAGGTATCCAAATTGGAAAGGAAGAAGTAAAGCTGTCATTATGCACAAAAGATATAATATTGTACACAGAAAACCCTAAAGACTCCATCAAAGTACTACTAGATTTGATAATGAGTTCAGCAAGGTAGCTGGATACAAAATTAACATCCAGAAATCAATGGCATTTTTATACACCAACAATGAACTCTCAGAAAGAGAAATTACAAAAACAATACCATTTACCATTGCAACTGAAAAAATAAGATACCTAGGAATAAACTTAACCAAGGATATAAAAGACCAGTACTCAGAAAACTACAGGACACTGAAAAAAGAAATAAAGGAAGATATAAACAAGTGGAAGAAAATACCATGGTCATGGGTTGGAAGAATTAATATCATTAAAATGTCCATACTACCCAGTGCAATTTATAGATTCAATACAATTCCTATTAAAATACCAGCAGCATATTTCACAGAGCTAGAACAAATATTCTAAAAATTTATATGGAACCAAAAAAGACCCTGAATAACTGCAGCCATCTTGTGAAAGAAGAAAAGAGTGGGAAGGATCACTTTACTAGATATCAAACTGTATTACAAAGCCATTGTAACCAAAACAGCCTGGTATTGGAACAACACCAGACATATATATCAATAGAACAGAACAGAGACCCTAGAAATAGACCCAATCCATTTTGGTCAGTTAATATTTGACAAAGGAGGCAAGAGCATCCAACGGAGAAAAGACAGGTTTTCCAATAAGTGGTGCTGGGAAAATTGGAAGGTAAATGCAAAAAAATGAAACTAGACCACCAACCTTCACCGTACACAAAAATAAACTCAAAATGGATAAAAGACTTTAATGTAAGTCGTATAACTATAAAAATCCTGGAAGAAAACATAGGCCGTAAAGTCACAAACATCTCAGGTAGTGGAATTTTCACTGATACATCTCCTAGGGCAAGAGAAACAAAAGAAAAAATAAACATATGGGACTACATCAAACTAAAAAGCTTCTGCACAGCAAGAGAAAATGGCCTCAAAATACAAAGGAACCCCATGGTCTGGGAAAACATTTGCCAAGGATGTATCTGATAAGGGGTTAATTTCCAAAGTGTACAAAGATCTCATACTACTCAGCAAGAGGAAGACAAACAATCCAATTAAAAAATGGGCAAAGGACCTGAATAGACACTTCTCCAAAGAGGACATACAGATGGCCAAGAGACACATGAGAAAATGCTCAATGTCGCTAATCATCAGAGAGACACAAATTAAAACTACAATGACATATCACTTCACACCCGTCAGAATGGCTGCGTCAG